TATTCTACCGACCTCCTGGGTCAGGGCACTGAACCCCCTCCACCTGTGAGGAACCAATGATAGCCACCTGCTGACCATCTGCTCGTCAGGCCACACTTTTGCTACATCTATCATTGCTAGTTATTAACCTGCTGTCCTTCCTGCTGCTCTGACGGAATAATAATGATTTGAAGACGATGGGAAACACTTAAGGACCCAGCACATCTCCGTCTGCTGGATGCTGTAGAAAATCTTAGAGAAAGTTGTTCTCACTAACTGTTTATCAGCTGACACTTGTATATACTTCTGCACTTCGTGGGTACTTAAAACGTTTGTCTTGACAAAAGACGATGACTTCCACTGTCTGTTGTTCCAATTTAGTCTTCTGTTGGTCAATTACTTATCTTAGGCTAGTAGGCTTATCGCATTTCTCCTCTGTTCTTGCTCTTAACTAACAGAGTGCCAGAGAATGCCATATGTCATATTGGTTCTGGCTCTGTGTTAATACTTCTGTTTTTTTTTTTTTGTATTTTCACGCTAATGTGAAATAGTGATCTCGTGTAAGGTCAAAGCTTCGTGGTCACTATATGGAGATTTAAAACAAATTTTCTGAACCACCACCGCTAACATCACCACGCTACCACCACTACCACTAACATCACCACGCTACCACCACTACCACTAACATCACCACGCTACCACCACTACCACTAACATCACCACGCTACCACCACTACCACTAACATCACCACGCTACCACCACTACCACTAACATCACCACGCTACCACCACTACCACTAACATCACCACACTACCACCACTACCACTACATCACCACGTTACCACCACTACCACTAACATCACCACGCTACCACCACTACCACTAACATCACCACACTATCACCACTACCACCAACATCACGTTACCACCACTACCACTAACATCACCACGTTACCACCACTACCACACATCACCACACTATCACCACTACCACCATTACTAAAACTTCCAATACTACAACACTACTACCATCATCACTACTACCACTACCACACCTGGAACACCTATAAAACTCTGAACACACACACCTTCGTCCTGGTCATGGTTCATCCACCAGGGTGCCACCCACGCCCACATGCTACACCCACATGTTACACCCACGCCAAAACATTCGCCTTTCACCTCCAAGAGACCGCACACCCACACACCTTACACACCCACAACCACCCCCGAAACGTCCTAAACCCACGCCCACTCCCACACATCTTGCACATCCAAGGAAAAATCCAAATATGCAACGTGGACACCCGAGGCTGCTACACGCCCACAGTTTCAGGCACGTGAGGGCGTGGGGCACACGCCCACAGGTGCAGTACCAAGTTGCTCCGGCCTTACATGGCTGAACCTTTCTCAAGCTCAGTGGTACCGTCTCCTTCACAGTCTCCTACACCTCCTCATCCACGGTCTCCTCCATCCCCTCCTCCATCCTTGTTTATATATCATAACTGTCTTTAAGGCTTTGTTATCTTATCGGATAACACCACATGGTTTGTGATTTTTACTGGTGGTAGCATCACATAGCTTGTGTATGTGATCTTCGCTGGCGAAACTGTGTTTACATATTAATATTTCCTCTGACAAATGTTTATCAAACTAGTTCATTAAAGTTTCAGTTGAAGCTTAATGCAAAGAACAAAAAGGTACTGTGACTGGAACAATATATAAATAACCAGCACATAGGAGAGAGGAGCTTACGACGACGTAACGGTCCGACTTGGACCATTTACGTCATTGTAAGCTCCTCTCTCCTATATGCTGGTTGTGTATTGTCAGGCTCAATGTTCTGTTTCAGTTTCGTGTCTCAAATTCTGGCGTAGAAAGTCCTAAGATTTGCTAGTGGTTTGCCTGGAGTGTGGGAAATTGTCTCTCAGGATGGCTAAGTATCCCCCAGCCAGTCTGGAACTTTAATAAGAAACTCATCTCTCAAAAAGCCTGGCTAGTTTAAATTGCCCAAAGGGTTATAAAGAAAATGTGAAGCAGTTTTTGATATGATCTCCGAAATGCTGTGCATAACAAGGGGCTTTAGTAAGTTTGTTTAAGCACGGGTACACATAAGTACAAATATCATACATAGTGTATATTATCTAAGGTATCCCAAAAAGATCAGAGTAGTTATACATGTCATTCACCTTAACTGTATAATATATTGTTCTCCACTTCATAGAAATTGTTTGTTTTTCTGTTTATGTAACTAGTGATATTAATTAGAATAAATCTTGCTTATCTCAGTTTCGCTTTATTACGTCTTTCCTTCATCTTTCTCTCTCTCTCTCACTACACTTTTTCTCTCTCCCACTTTCTGTCACTCCACTTCTCTCCTTCACCTCCCAATAAGGATCACAAGTATTCAGCTGTGGTATTGGTAACACACATCTACAACTTTCCTCACCACAGTTGATATTTCACAGTAAATTCTTCTTTTATGAGACACCAGTATTTTTGTTAACTAAATGTAGTTACATTAATTAAAATATAATAAAGTTAATTACAATATAAGATTCAAATATAATATGATTAGTTTATTGTTGGTGCCACTGTAGAGGTGTCTCAGTGGTAGCGAAAGGCTCTTTATCCAAGATAATGGAGGCTACCCTCTCTTCCTCGGATTAAATTTTATTACCTCCTATTTGTCCTTTGTTATGAAAGCACTACGAATTTTACCGTTACGACAGTGCAGCTTTCATAATGCCGATGGTTTATTCGTCCGGAGAAAAAACCCTGACATGAATCTTTGTCACGATATGACCCATTCAGTGGTGTCGGCACTATGGTGGGTGGGACCCTGCTAGTGTGTCTAGGGACACGTGATGGTGGTATGGTGAACCACGGCAGTAGCTACCATACAGATGCTAGCATCCACATAACAGCAGCTCTGGTGGCCTGGTGGCTAACGCTCTCGCTTTACACGGCGAGGGTCCTGGGTTCGATTCCCAGCCAGAGTAGAAACATTGGACGTGTTTCTTTCCACCTGTTGTCTATGTTCCCCATCAGTAAAATGGGTACCTGGGTGTTAGTCGACTGGTGTGGGTCGCATCCTGGGACACTGACCTAATTTGACCGAAATGCGGAGCATAACAAGGGACTTTCTATATAGTAGTATGTCATTGTTGTCAGCTAGGACTGTATACCTTGTACATATACTTGTAGTAAATAAAGATATTATTATTATTATTATTATTATAGGCAGCAGAGACCATACAGATGCTAGCATCTACATAACAGCAGCGACCATAGGCAGCAGCGACTGTACAGCGTAGCCATGACGAACTCTAGCTCAAGTCCCCTCAAAGCCGTCATCATGACTCACGAAATCGTTATAACACGGTACGGGAGGGGCTTGAACACGCTGGAGATTCAGTTGCAAAAACTTGCATTTGTGGCCACAGTGGGACTCATGCTAACCTCCCTATGGTGTATAAATATACCTAATTGGACGAATCTTATTGTAGCCAGCTGGCCGAGTGGCTTACACGCTGGCCTGGAGTTTCACGACTCGCTGCGACTTCAAGCTCCACCCGTACCATGGTTTGTTTGCAATCGTGTCATTACGACTTCTTGAGTTAGAGGCTAGCAGCAACTAAAGCAGAAGCCAGCATTCCGAGGCTAGCAGCAACTAAAGCAGAAGCCAGCATTCCGAGGCTAGCAGCAACTATAAGCAGAAGCCAGCATTCCGAGGCTAGCAGCAACTATAAGCAGAAGCCAGCATTCCGAGGCTAGCAGCAACTAAAGCAGAAGCCAGCATTCCGAGGCTAGCAGCAACTATAAGCAGAAGCCAGCATTCCGAGGCTAGCAGCAACTAAAGCAGAAGCCAGCATTCCGAGGCTAGCAGCAACTATAAGCAGAAGCCAGCATTCCGAGGCTAGCAGCTACCATACCGAGGCTAGCAGCGACCTGTCAACTCATTGGTCCGAGTGCATTTTTTGAAAATATTTAGTTGGTAAGAAGGCAGGAGGTTGGGAGTACTTATGGCGGGACACACTGAAAGACGCCAGTGGTGGAACACAGCAAAAACTAGCATGGCGACGGTGTGGGGGTGAGACTTACATGGCACAAGCGGGGAGGTATTTTATACCTTTCTTGCACAACAAGGCAGAGGGGGGAGAAGGTCGGGAGAACACTTAACATAAGAGAAAGTTACACTAGCAAAGAGAGAGAGACAAGTAAGATGCAGAGGTTCATGATATCCAGTTCATTTCCACCTCCCTCCTCCTTATTAGGCCTGCGTAATGAAAAACATTAGTAAAAGATATCCGTGTTCTTAAATGATAAGACATAAAATCCTGTCACCTTCCTCTATTCAGACATCGCCACAACTCCTCTCTACATACGGAAGAACACGTTTGCGTTTGGTTAACTTAAAACATGACCAAATATAGCAGAGTAATCGTAACACTAGCCAAGATAAGCCCTTCACAATTTTATATAATAAACCGGAATAAAATAAAATAGAGAAACTTTAAGAAAAATTATGTATATTTCATTAATCTATAGTGGTCTTGTTGAGCTGTCTCAGTGTAAGGTTATATACAGTACTTCTCTTATATTCTGTTATAGGTTATCAGTAAGGGTTCGGTTTGACCGGCGGTAGGAGTAACACAAACTATGCTGTAATAATGTTGGTAGAATTACCGACAATATATTAGGTGAAAATGTGTGAGTAATGCGACATTTTATCGTGGCAATGTTTCGCTCTCCAGGAGCTTTGTTAAGAGCGAAACGTTGCCACAATAAAGTTTCGCATAGTTACACAAGTGTACTTTTACCTAACAAGTTATAAAGGAAGTAAACCCAGTGAAATGTATTCAGTATTACAAGCCAACGATAGTTTGCTTTTCTGCATAATTCATGACATTTCTACACCATCTACTTTTATATCTACTTTATGCCACTGATCAGTGCTGATTACACTTTCGTGTCTGGATATGACGAGATATTAACCATGTGTTCGTGTACTCCACAGTTCTGGGAGATCATCAGTGACGAACATGGCATCGACCCCAACGGTGTGTACCAGGGAGTGAGCCGAGACATCGAAGAGCTGCAGCTGGAGAGAATCAATGTTTACTTCAACGAGGGTTCCGGCTACCACCACTATGTTCCCCGTGCCATCCTCGTCGACTTGGAACCCGGCACCATGGACTCTGTCAAAGCCGGACCCTATGGCCAGCTCTTCAAGCCTGATAACTTCGTCTTTGGTAAGTTCTGGTGAGGTTCTGATGCTCACATTAAAACAACGTTAGTTCGGTGTTGCGGAGACGTCCGTACTGACCCGTTCACTACAGAGCCATTCGCTATGGCTGAATCTCTGTACTCTACAATCTCGCTTGAGCTTCCCGCGTTTCATACAAAACGATATGGAGAAAGTTGCATTTTAGATGTAGAACCCTTCACCCACAACAGAAAGAATCCGGGTTCGCTCTTCCGATACCTCTGGGCGAAACAATTCACAAATAACCCCCAAATCAGAAATGAAAACCGGACAATGTTTTGGTTCTTCACGTACTATTATAACGAGTTGATAGTGTGCTGAAGGACCGAAACGTCGGCCAGATTTAGTTCCTAGTTTACAATAATTTTAATTAGTTTTAGTGACTGAAGTAACAGTATTTGTAATATTTGTAGCTCTTGTAGCAACAATAGTAGTTGTGGTTTTAAGAGTAATAGGTGTAGTTGCAGTAGTTGTAGTAGTACACTAATAATCCGCACATAGGGGAAAGAAGCTTATGATGTTTCGGTCCGACTTGGACCGAAACATCGTCATAAGTTTCTCCTATGTGCAGGTTATCTGTGTATTGTTCCGGTTATGGTATTGTGCCATTTTATTCTTTAGTAGTAATAGTAAGTGAACTTGTAGTACCAGTAATAGCTGTAGCTACTTTATTAACTACTTGGTGTAGTTGTAGCAACAGTGGTTGTGTTATGATCGTGGTGTTGATGGTTGTTACAGGTCAGAGCGGCGCTGGTAACAACTGGGCCAAGGGTCACTACACAGAAGGTGCCGAGCTGGTGGACTCAGTGATGGACGTGGTGAGGAAGGAGGCTGAGAACTGCGACTGTCTTCAAGGATTCCAACTGGCACACTCCCTGGGTGGTGGTACTGGCTCGGGCATGGGCACTCTCCTCATCTCTAAGATCCGCGAGGAGTACCCAGACAGAATCATGAACACTTATTCCGTTGTGCCCTCACCCAAGGTTAGTCTTGGCAGGTGTAACCGTCTCAGTATTTGTCTTATTTTTCCTCTTATTCTCTCTCCCTCGTTCAAACTATCTTCTTCCCTCCCTCCCTCTACACCTCTTCCTTATTTTAGTGGGTTTGGGTTTGAGAAAGACTTGCCAAGCATGGGCCGGAAGGACTGCTGCAGTGTTCATCCTTACGTTTTCATCATATCATCCTCCTCTACCCATTTCCCCTGCTCCCTCTTCTCTCTACCTCCTCTCTCCATTCCTTTATGTAAATTACCTATTTGAATACATATGCTTAATTTTTTTTTTAAGTATAATAATTAGCTTTTAATATTTTTTTGCAACTGCTTTCTTGTAATATACCGGCTGCAACAATTTACTACTAATGTTTAGGCGACTTTTTGATTGGTCCTGATCAGGGCACAACCGTCGTGACGTGGATTATGATTCCAAATCCCTTTTCACTTAAGGGTAACATTTTTACGGTTAGGTGGGTACTTTTAGGTAGCGTGTCTGTTTTGCGATTAGAGGAGAGAGGATCGAGCCTCCACCACTCCTTGTGTAAAATGCCTCGCTAGATTTTATAAGTTTACAAGCCAGCTACTTCTGCTTTTGTCTAGATAGCTGTGGTAGTGATAGGAAAACAAAAGGCCATATTTTTAAGAAGCGAAAGATGAAGGTAGCAAAGATAAAGGCACTAAATATATTGGTACACATAAATATATATGACTACTCACTGCACGGGGGGCATGAACCCATAACAAGCCGGTCTAGCAGGCCATTGCGTTAGTCAGTGTTCGTGGCTAATTCATATTTATTGTTGCAGGTCTCCGACACTGTAGTTGAACCATACAACGCCACTCTCTCCGTCCACCAACTGGTTGAGAACACTGACGAGACCTACTGTATCGACAACGAAGCTCTCTACGACATTTGCTTCAGAACCCTCAAGCTGCAGAACCCGACCTACGGCGACTTAAATCATCTGGTCTCTCTCACCATGTCCGGCGTCACCACCTGCCTCAGGTTCCCCGGCCAGCTGAACGCTGATCTCAGAAAGCTAGCTGTCAACATGGTACCATTCCCTCGCCTCCACTTCTTCATGCCAGGATTCGCGCCTCTTACCGCCCGCAAAGCCGTCAGTTACAGGACTCTCAATGTACCCGAACTCACCCAACAAATGTTTGACGCCAAGAATATGATGGCCGCCTGCGACCCCCGCCACGGACGATATCTCACTGTCGCTGCCATCTTCAGAGGTAAAATGTCCATGAAGGAAGTCGACGAACAGATGCTCAACATCCAGAACAAGAATACTCCTTACTTTGTTGAATGGATCCCCAACAACGTCAAGACAGCCGTGTGCGACATACCACCTCGAGGTCTCAAGATGTCTTCCACTTTCATCGGCAATTCCACTGCCATTCAAGAGATCTTCAAGCGCATCTCCGAGCAGTTCACCGCTATGTTCAGACGTAAGGCTTTCCTTCATTGGTACACGGGCGAGGGCATGGATGAAATGGAATTCACCGAAGCAGAGTCCAACATGAATGATTTGGTATCAGAGTACCAGCAGTACCAGGAAGCAACTGTCGATGACGAAGAGGACTTCGAAGAGGAAGATGCTCATGAAGAAACAGACTAAATCATATGACGACATCCCTGGAAGCCGAAAGGAAGGCTTTAAAATGCTTCTTAGTGTCTCTTGAATATCACTAGAAATACCTTAAAGTTCAGTTCTTTCCAAAAGACTTAAGTGACTGGGTATTTGGAGATCACTTACTGGACTTTTTAAAGTCTTAAAAAATATTCAAAAGATACTGTGGACAAGTGGAGGTCTTGTAAGAGGTCAGTTTCTTAAAATATAAAGAACAAGCGGAGACTACGAGACAGCGTATGTAAGATTTCATTTAGGTCTCGTGCATAATTTGAAACGTTTATATTTTACAGAGTAAATTATGATTAACTTAAGCTTAATAAGTCATTTGAGATCTTTAAATGTCCTGTTTGAATCTTTTGGATATGATGTTCCTTAAGGTGCTCCCTCGGTCCTCATCCAATCATGATGTAATATCAAGGTAAACATATCCTACTGGGAAGCTTACATATACGCTTTCATTTAAGTGGAAGCTGTGACTATCTCTGGGCTTCCCCTTTCTTCCCTGTCTACGCCTTACCCTTCATATTAGTTTTTCCTACTTTCCTTTCTCATTCATTCCTTTCCTCCCTCTCTCTCTCTCTCTCTCTCTCTCTCTCTCTCTCTCTCTCTCTCTCTCTCTCTCTCTCTCTCTCTCTCTCTCTCTCTCTCTCTCTCTCTCTCCATAACAGTGTTCCTGTTTGGACGAAATAACAACGATTTACATAGTTGTCAATACTTCCCAGTAATATGCAGATTAATGTAAAAAAAGAATCATTGGGAGAAAAAAGTATTGACTCGCCTAAATCTGAATAATCATTAAATAAAAATGACTATATTATATCAGATTTATCCAATAAATTATTTCACTGTTGGTGCTATATCAAAATAGAGATACAGATGTATTTATATTGAATTTCATATTCAGAATTAGACTATTTCTGTCCATACTTTAATGTAATAATAGTGGTATTTAAAGTCTCAGTTGGAGCAATTGTCCAAGCATTGTCATCCCGGTTGATGTGCGTGTGTCAGATGTCAGTCAGATGTCACAGATGACATGTGGTGTCAGGTGTCATGTACGAGATGTCATAGATGGTGTCACCTGTGTAACATGTCACGTGGTTTCAGATGCCATAAAAGATGACATGTCATGCATAATATCCTGTGTCATACATATGTGATGACACGTGTCTTGTAAGATGCCATAAAGGATAACACGTGCCATGTAAGATAACAGACATATCATGAATGATGTCGCATGTCATGTACGATGACAAACATATCATGAATGATGGCACGTGTCATGTAAGGTGCTCTACATGTCACCCGTGATGCTATGTGTCATAAGACGTCACGTGTCATGGCAGGTGTCAGGCGGTGAGTGTCAAGATTGCTTTCTACTAATCGGTTATGTGGCAGCCCACCCACAACATGTCAAATAATTGAAGATTAATCACATATATCAGAATAAAACATTGAAGAACTACCCTCTCTTGTTTTTCTACATGATAGTTACACAGTGGAAACAAAGGTAGCTAAGTTCCCTCTGTCACATTTCATCATGCAGGATGGTGACAGTGTTGGAATCTTGTCAGTCTGAGCTGGAAGATATCTGCGGGCGGGTGAGGATATCGTCAGGTAGTCCAACACGGGTCTATCAGCTACGGCAGCTTCAAAGATTTCACTTGTTTATTATCGTAGTATTAAGAAACGTGACAATGATAAGGTGGTTAATTGGGGTGTTTAAGGCTGCGTGTAACCTGCTCACCACCAGTTCATCCCTGACGTAATCTCTTTATACATGTTGATATACACCCCTCCCAGTGTACATGGGGAGTCAACACCCCTGAGATCCATTCTTTGACCAGGCGTTCCGATAGTTCAAGGCCTGATCAACCAGACTGTTACTGCTGGCCGCACGTAATCCAACGTACAAACCACAGCCCGGCTGATCGGGTACTGACTTTAGGTGTCTGTCCAGTTCACCTCTTGAAGGCAGCCAAGGGTCTATTGGAAATCCCCTTCGTGCCTGGTGGGAGGTAGTCGAACGGTCTTGGGCCCCGGACACTTTTTGTGTTTTCTCTAAGCAGGTAACTGGAATTTAAAGTCTATAGCCTGCACGAAGGTCATTGATAATAAGGCCGCATGTTAACTGCTCACCATCACTCAAGAATACTTTAATCCCTAAAGTAAAAAAAATGATCTCAACGAATATGCACTGAGTCACACACCTCCAGGGGTTGAGTGGGTTAGTTTGGTTAATGGTGTTTGAGCCTTTTTGACTTACGAAGATCATTTAGGCTGCATTTAAATTATTCACCATCAGTTAAGAATACATACTTTAATCTGTAAAGTAGGAAATAAGCTCTCAGTATATATATACCAAGAGACTTGCACCTTACAGTGTATATACCCGATGAGTAAGTTAGTTACGTAATGAGTTTATACTGGCCAAGAGCTGCTAACCTCAGTCAGCCAAAATTTTTCGTATTATAAGCATAACATTTGTAAAGCTGACCAGTGTAGGCAACATCTACTGTACCTTCAAGGAATCAGAGATGTTCTCCCGAACCTAGGATTAAATCTGACTACATCCCCTTCCCCAGGCACTGTATGATTCCCCTACGAGTGTAGAGCTTACAACAATAATAAAGGTTTAACATTCCAAATTGTTCTCTCAACACAGGTTGAGAGAACAAAATATCCATATATAAGTGAAAAAAAAAATAAGCATACTTAAAGATCATGTAGTGACCATAAAGGCGTTTGTATTACTAACACATCTGACTAAAGTGTTGACCATATATGTGTGGACAAGTGGCCAGGTATCTACTCAGCGAACCTATATAAGAGTAACAGATGTGGGTCGCTCTCTCTCAGGCGCCTTATACAGTGTTGCTTATTACCTTCAACTCCCAGACAAAACAAGATCAGGAAAGGGAGTTAATCACTAGGTACGTGAGATATTGAAGAAAAATAATGATAAAGAGGATACTTGAAGGGGACTCGAACCGTAGTCCTTGTACATCCCAGGCCCAACGTTGTAACCACTCAGCCACGGAGCTTACAATATGACAACTTTTACAACCAACACACCTGTGATCTGTTGTATCAGCAGCCCCAACTGTGATTCTAATGTCTTATCCCACAGCCCCAGAAGCTCTCGTGAGACATCTATTGTTATACCCCACAGTGTTCTCGTCTATCTTGTTTATTGACGATTGTTCATTACGACTTATTCTGCTCGTATAAATAATGATCTTGATACATGTAATTAAGTGGGTGCGTCATCGGCTCACAAGAGAAAGACCTGGACTCATGTGTAGAGTCCTGACGTGTGGGCAATTCTCATTATATATTTAACCTTATTCTCCTATCATTAAATAGGTACCTGGAAATTAGCCGATTGTTGTGGGCGGCATCCTAGGGTGTGGTAGGATACCACTGATACCGGGGCAGATTACCAGAAGATACAAAAATAGAGGCACGAATGCAATGTTGTTTTTAATTTATGTTACGCTCTAAACCCATGTGGGTCATTCAGCGCAAGACGTGGAGGAGGCTTGATCCTCTGTCTGCTGGACGCCAGACAGTCATGCTTATATGTACTCAATACAATGCAGTCCTTTGTGGACAACCGTTTCTCTCACACAGTGGGCTTTATCAAAGAGAGGATGATCCTATATATAGGGAGTGTAGTGAGGGGAATAGTCAGGTGAGGTGTGCTGAAGCTATTACTCGAGCTTGAATTCAAGACCATACTATACGGTTGATGACTGGGGCATCCCAGTGGACCAACAATACATCACCAAGATCCTCCACCGTCCATCGGATACCTTGATAAAGATACGACTCTCCACATCCAGAGCACAAGATTGCACTGCCTTCGCCGATAATTCCCTGGCTATGGTTTATGCCTGATGCGACATAGTGACTGCTACCTCTGTAATTTCTCCTTGGAAAGATAACGACCTTCCGAATCTGGAATACTCTTCCCCTCTCCATGGCTTCCTGAGCCTGCGGACAGCCGTGCCATGCATTTCCTTGTCAACAAGCAGCTCTGCGGCTCAGATGTGTTGAAACGCTCTGCTGAGGCAAGCATGGCCAAAACTGAGAGCTCTGACTGCTCAAAGTCTATCAGTTCTTAACTACAACATCAGGTCCTTAAGCAAACACTATGATGACCTCCTGGCACTCCTTGAGTCGCTAAAGACACCCTTCTCCTGCATTATTCTTACTGAGACCTGGCTTAAGCAGGACACAATTGATATCTACCCACTACCAGGATACACAGCAATCCACAACTGCAGACCATACCAAGTTGGGGGTGGTACTGCAATCTATTACTCTAACTAACTATCTTGTATTAGCACTAATTGCTTTAGTGATGAATATGGGGAATACATTTTTGCTAATTTTACTGTAAAAAACCTCAAGACGCCTATAACAATCGGTGCCATATACCGGATACCCCACACAAACATCCCAAACTTCAGTGAGAATCTAAAGTCACTAATAACAAACAGACAAATGAATAAGCACCACCTTCTCTTAGCTGGAGACTTCAATATCAACCTTGGCCTACCACATGATCAGACTGTAACTGATTTCATCAACAATATGAACAACACACTTCTCATACTATGGAACAATGCTCTTCTCCAGACTGAGGGACTGACCACCTCAAAACTTTAAGGGTGATGGACTGATTACATCGTCTTCAAGTATCTTCTGCTTCTATCAACTTTTCTGTACTTGACTGAAGAAGCCTACTGTGTAGGCGAAACGTTTCATAATAAAGATACCTAACTGTTGCATATGTGTCTTACCTAACAATAACTAAACCAACCAGGCTGACTGAGACAAGTGCAACCATAATAGACCACATATGGACCAATATACTAGCCCCCCTTAAATCAGGGATAATCACAGATAGCACTACTGACCACTACCCAACCTTCCTCTTAACAAACATTAGTAAGCCACCACTCGAATACAACAAAGTTTCATTTAGACTCCATGACGAGGCCTCAATAAGGAATTTCACAGCAGACGTAGAGACTATTGACTGGCCTACAGAATTCTCCAATGCCAATGGTATTGACGATTGGACAGACATTTTTCTTAACAAAATACTTAGACTATACAACAAACATTGTCCTATAAAAACGAAACAGATCACGAATAAACGGCTTGGTTGCCAATGGCTAACCAGCAGCATTCTGAAATCCATTGATAAGACACACCACTATGAAAAGCAATATAGACAGGGTTAATACACAAAGATATTCTTAAACACTATTCATCTTTTTTTTTATATTTTTATTTAAAACAACACAATACATTAAATAAATAAAAGAACACAGTATCAGTTCTTACTCAAAATTATAAATCTCATTGTCTAAATGAACACAGACGATTAACATTGTGTTGTCACACCTGTCCCTCATCCCATATACATTACATCCAATGTAACTATGTTAAGTAAGATTACACAAGATAACATAACAATATTCATCATTATTATTATAACCAAGGAAAACCAAAACCTACAATCTGCATTATTTTTTCCACATTGTTATTTATATATTATTAATCCACATAATCTTCAAACCCTCCTTTACAATACTCATTATTGCCAGTGCCGACACAGCTGACACTTCTACCCCCCCCCCCTCATTATTGTCAGTGCCGACACAGCTGACACTTCTACCCCCCCCCCGTATGTACAGTCCCCATTCTAAATAACATACATTAATTTCCCTAATGAATGGTCATTGATAAAAATTTCTACTAAAATAACCCAATCCAGCAGACTTCCAAACAAAAACAGTCAGGGTCATTATAAGACATGTAGGAACGAGTCCAGCAATCATATATGTATACATATACGCATGCATATACACATACGTGTATGTGCACTTATTCATAAGAACAAACTAAATCATACATAGAAATAAATCGCTAAATGACTTGTCTGCAAATAAACTAAATATTACAATCTATGATAGAACTATACCAAAGACATTAGTTCCCCCAAACACCCTACACATACACAAAGTTAATGTTACTGATTAACACTCAATATATAATAGGACCTTCCATACAAAATAAGGGGATATATAAACCCCATCAAATACTTATATATTTTCGTACATAGTGCATAATGTACATATTCAATACAATAATAAAAAAAGAGGTGTATGACAAGGCTAAATCTATCTTCAGATTAAAAATATATAAGACATAACCTCACATTATACATATAAATATAAACCTCCTATATAAAATGATTCTTATAACAATAAGGGAAAAAACCGAAAATCACATACAACTTTTGACTCTGTGATTTTACAAAAATTCATAAGGTCTACATACTCCTACAATAAACTTTACCACATCAACCACCCGTGCAAACCAATCAACCATACCTCACCAGGCTTCCAATCACACCAAGAGGGCGCACCACTGAAGAGACCAACCCCTT